CCTCCCTCCCTCCCTCCCTCCCTTCCTTCCTTCCTTCCTTCCTTCCTTCCTTCCTTCCTTCCTTCCTTCCTTCTTTCCCTCTCTCCCTCTCTTTTTTTCAAAGAAGAAGGCAAAAACAACGGAGGAAGAAAGGAAATGAGCAACCTAGGATCTAGAATTCGGAAGTTCCATGTTTTTGAAAATACAAAATCTGTTTAAACTGCTCAATCATAAAAGAATTGTTGTAACAATGCTATGTATGCTATATTATATCTATCATTATGTCTTAAATTTCTTCTAATGGAATTGTTCCTCAGAAGTGTAGTGAGTTAATATGCATTCACAAGGAATAAAATATTTCAGTGCTTCTTAAGAGAAATTACCTTGGTGCAAAATTTCAAAAAAGTTACTTGTTATTTCAAACGCAAGGGTTATTTGGAGCTGTTACAATAGAAAAATGGTATATCCTTTTCCATTCTCACATTCTCCAAGATGCCTGAATACTACTCTGGTTTTCCAAAAACTAAAACGGATGTTTCTCAGTAGAAACTTGGCCTCAAATGAGAATTGAAAATTTAATAATTAACTATATAGCCTTAAGGAAAACTACATATGACTAGTACTCCTTAAACTATTAGAAAATAAAAACTGTATTTGATATCTGTTTAAGATATCAAATCACTCACTCCAAACTCACAGGGGAAAAAAAAAATGCATGTATATATTTCTTGTGAAAAAAAAATGCCAAGAAATATGATATAATAGGGGGAAATCTGCCAAAAGAAATGCTTTTTAAATAGTATTTTTCCACCATTCATTTCTTAGGAAATCATGAAAAACTCGAACTTCTCTAAGTTTGTCCCAAATATTTTAGAGGATGCTTTTTCAGTGGTTTTTTTTTTTAATGAATGAAAAATTTTAAGAATGAAAAATTATGCTAAAACCTGCTATAATAAACTTCAGTGGTGGTGAAACCTTATGTGTAACAATACACACACACAGTTTTGGCAAAGCATTACGTGCCCTTCACAAAACAAACAAACAAAAACAGAGTAGCTGCCTTTAAATTTAAACACTCTGGAGAAACAAAATATGACAAATATCTCTTGTTCATAGGAACAGTTCCTCATCTAATCAGCATGTTGCAAATTAAGCTATTCTAAATAAGGTTTAGTACCTGCAACTGGAAAAGAACTGTTCTGCTTTTTTCTATCTCTGAGGATTGTGCATGCTGCTGCTCTGCAACTTGTTTTACAACTTCGATTAGTGATGGAGAATTTTGCTTGGCCATTTTAGAGAGAGGGGCAGAACTGTAAGAACATAAAAGAGAAGTGAAATATTTTATCATAGTTCAGTTTAATTCCTTATTCTTAGTGAAGGAGAACAATATTAAGGCCTTTTGTATGAGAGCCTGGATCAACACATCATTTCAGTGGATTCATTTTTTATTACCAAGAACAGATCACTAAGGGGTGGATACTCAATGACAATGATTGAGAATTAAAACTCTTTCTTGAGGAGTTTTTTAAAACAAAGTATTACAGTGTTCCCCTGGCTGCTTCACAGAACAGATCCTCAGCTTGTGAAATGTAGTCATAGCTCTAAGGGCATCCACTTCCCTCGTATTTAGCCTCAACACTTTTGCCATCATCATACCGTAACTGTTAACTCTTCAATGTCTTTAAGACAAAAATAACTAAAAAAAGTTGTCACACTGATAAAATCATAAATTGATATGACTGTATCAATGCAGAGATCAGCTGAGTGACTTTAAACGGTGCTATTTTTGTATCACTTCAAATAGAAGTTAATGAAAAAAATCTGTATTGTCAAATAAGACACTACTTTCTTCATAGTAATAATAAGGTACTACTTTCTCAGGAATAACTAGTAAGTAAATGATAAATTCCTGATTTCTCGGGAATACATGCACGAGGTGCGTATCATGAGGACCCTTTTAAGTATGTGGCACACAGAAGACGCAGGAGCTGCCCAAGGGGCACTGCTGCCGCTTAGGGAATTCTCCCTTCGGTGCTTAGGGCTGTTGCTGCTGCTGCTGCTGCTTTGCCCTTCCCCATCTCTCATCTTCCCCCTCTGCGGCCCAAGGCCCGAGCAGCAGCACCTCCCGTCAGAGCAGGCTGCCTGCCCAGTTCGGACAAGGCTCGGGATCGCCGTGAGCCTCTCCAAGTGCCGAGGTGCCAGCAAGGCTCTTGACCTCGGGAAAACGCCAGATACTCCTAGTGGGGGTTTCCCCTGATCCGCACCGGAGATCACGCGGGGAACCCGCCAGGGCGCTGAGCCACCGGCTGTGCGGGCCGGGCCTTTCCCCGCCCCTAACGGCCGCCCGCGGAGCAGCGCGGGGCGGGGGGCGGCCCTGGGCGGGGAGAGCGGGCGGGAAGCGGCCCCTGTGGGACCCGGCCAACGCAAACAGGCGGGTTTATTTTTCCTACCTTGTGTTTATTAACTCTTTTTTTTTTTTTTTTTCCTGTGTGCGTTCTTTCAGCTCGTCCTTGAAATCAGATGACAAAAGCGGAATATATAATATTTCCACTGGAGAAGTAATACCGGTTTGGTGTCCTATTCTCCCCGGTGTTTTGTATCCTAGAAAATTTCCTGACCCTTTTCTACTGTGCTTTTCAGCCCTCTGCACTGAAAATATTTCAATGATTCTTTGTTTTTCTTAGTCTGGCTGGAGGAAGGAAAACCCTTGCATAGGTCTGTCTGTCCTCCAGTTCCCCTGCTAGTTTTTCATCCCACATCTTGCTTCAGCCACATTGGGCAGTGGCCAAAAAGGCAACTGCTTTCTGCACATTTCATAAAAATTGGTTTTCCTGTGTAGGAAGGAGCAGATTCACATCTAATTACAGGTATTCAGGGACAGGGTATTTGGGGTAGTCTGGGGCAGTTTGGCTCTCATCCCTTCCATCTGGCAACAGCTCCAGCCCTGCACAGCAGAGACAGGAGGGCAAATGGCAGGGGACACCTATGGTGTGTTATGGGGCTGGATCTGAGGGAAATGTTGGTAGTAATCCGCAGTAATCACCACTGAGAAAATAGATTTATTATCTTACAATTCTTGGACAAACTGATACAAATCCCTCATTCCCTCTCCTTGCCTTTTGGACCATTGCATTTTCCTGTTCTAATATTCCTGGGGTGTTTTTATAGAGCTCTACAGAAAATTCAGGTTCCTGCACAATAAAACAAACAAACAAACAAACAAAAAGGTGTAAAATTTTAAGCAACCTCTTTTCAAAATGACTTTGCGTTTCACGGGAGAAACTTCTTCCTCATTTCTGGCCCGTGACCTTGACGTCTGGCCGCATAACCTCTGTGTTAGGGTTAGTTCTTCTAAATATGGTTTTCCTGACTGACTGCCAAATCCTTCGCTGGAACGTGCAGTTACCATTCGGAAAAAAAACACCTTTTTTTTTTTTTTTTTTTCTCTCTCTCTCTCTCTCTCTGCACATTTTCCCCTGGCTGCTTTGTGTTCATATTCTTATTCCAGCTGGCCGAGGGTTTGTGAATCCGCTGGAGGTTCGGCAGAGCGAATGCGTTTTGCGCGTCCGATTGCAGCAGTGGTTACATGGCAGGGTTAGCGCCGCTTCCGGGTGTAGCGCTGCCCAGGCATTAATCAATCACATTGGTGCCTTTTCGCACACTCTGTGCTTTCCTGTGGCTCGTGGCAGCCACCAAACAGGGTCTCATCATGAAGGAGAAATACAGGTTCCCTCGACAGCCTCACCGGGAAGCGGAATTTCCATCTTGTACAAATCAGCTGGAAGACTGACAGGGGAATTCAGCTATATAAAGCTGGCCATGTGTGTTCAGTGTCAGATGGTACCTTTCAGGAGTGTAAAAGGATCGCCTAACAGGGTGAGTAAATACCTGCTTTTTAAACTTTACTTTTGAAAACTGCAAGAACCTCAGTATTTTAATTGCAAGCGGTGACCTGTGCCACGTGCTCCAGGTGTCCCTGCCGGAGCAGGGTGTTGGACTAGGTGACCTCTAGAGGTCCCTTCCAACCTCAACCACTCTGTGATTCTGTGATTCTGTGTGTGACTACTGTTCCTTCTACAGTGACTAAATAACTCGAAATTAGCAAGGCAGAATATTTTGTTTTAACCCAGTTTAAGAAGTTTTAATGCTTTTTTCAGGTTTGCTCTTGTTGCAATATACTATTTTGCTAGAAGGGTGCTCTCATACCTTTAATAGTCTGTTTCCGTTCTCTGGTATCTCTCTCTAGCAATTGTTAAACACTTTTTCCCTTTTTCATTTTGTAAAAATTACCCATTTTCTGATACTCTGTAAGAAAATAAGGTGGCAAATGAGATCCAAAGATGCAGGAATTGCTAGTAATCTTTTCTCATCTGTCAGAGACCTTTGGAATTAAATTACATTTTTAGTGATTTCCTGCTCTTGATATGGTTCTTCTCTACCGTTTTGTTTTATTTACTTCATTGTTTCCTTCTATGTTTGCTTTCTTCTTTTTGTTCTTGTTCCTTTCTGCTTTGCTCTTGCCTTCATTTATCCTTTCCCTTGATTTTCTCTTCTTGTAGCCAGTGCCAGAGGATTTTTCTACTCTCCACACTTTTGCACTGACAGTGTTTCACGGAGTGGGTAAAACAACTGATGGGTGGCCTTGCTTTCAAGTTTGTGCAAGTATTTGCCCTGCATTTTATACTTAAATGAGCAACTCTCTTTAATAAATGCACTTCATCTTTTCTGAAACAGTTACATGCCAGGAGATTTCCTACGAAATTTAGATCTGTGGAGCTTTAAGTTATTTAAAACGTGAATAGCCATGAAGGCATTTCCTTCTAACACTGCTTGGCTTGTTGAGAAGGGTCTTGTTTGAGGGACTTAGAAAGCAGTCATAATATTTTATTATGACTGTAAGCAAAGGTACTTCTGACACCATTGGCCTTAGTGGGGCACAGTGATGCAAAACTGGAGGGATACAAGGATGAATCACACCATCATTTCTGTGCGGACGTCCCAATAATTGCCCTGGTGGATTTTTTATGATACACACACAGCTTAGTAATAGAGTAGGCAGTCAGGCAGTTACCTCTACTCCTGCAAACACTTTCCTGCTACCCTTTCTTTGGTGGTACTTTTCTGGGGAATATGAGGACAGCAATTAACTCTACTAACCTTACTCTATTAACATAATCTGAGTGGAGCAATAATCTGTTTTTCCACTGCACCTCTCTGTTGTACTGTCTTTGTTGGGGTTATTAGCTGTACTTACATTGGGATCTTCTCATTGACTCACAAGCCTCCCACAGAGATAATCAGGCTAAAGAAGGAAATCTCCACGTCATGGTCTTTGACATGACAGCCCATTTCAACACTGTATGCTTAGCAAGCTGTTTCTTCTGCCTTTTTTTTTTTTTTTGAGTAAGATCAGGAGTTATAAATATCCTGAGAGGTGTTTTTATGTGCTGTCACATTTTAATACTTTCAGTTCAGCTGTTTTGATGAATTAAACTTTGTAAGTATTTAACTCACAGATGAGAAAACATTGTTTTGAGTCAGGATTGTTTTCCTTCCAATATAGGGGAAAGAACAATGGAGAAAATAAAGAATGTTTTCTATAAAACCCTCCCTGAATAGAGAACCCATTAAAAGCAGAAAGATCATTGACCTCTCATTTAAATGTAGAAATTCTTGAAATGCATTGTCAACCAGAAAATGCCAAGGAGGACATCAAGTCTCCCATAGTGGACTCAAGTATGAAGCTTTTTTGCAGGATAGTGAAATAATTGTGCAGCCAGAGCATGGAGTTACTGGAGAATGGGAAGTTATGGCAGAAGAATTGTCCCAGGTGTTACATGATATGGTTAGCACAGATTTCATGGACTTAAAGACTCTTGGGTCTTCTAATAATAATAATAAATTTGTATTAATAATTAATGCCTCTATTCCTGAAAGAGTATTGATTCCTGTTCAGACACAATTTGTTCCTGTGCCAAAAAACTGGTTGGTAATGAGCACTCTAAATGATTAGGGAGTCTTAACACTGATGGGAAAGCTTCGTCCCACATCACGCACAGTACTTATTCATGAAACCTCAACAGCCACTGGTTCAAGGATCCAGATGGAAAAGGGAGCTGGTGTCTTGTCCCAGGTCTCTGAAGGAGGCTTGCACTGGAAACAAAGTTTCAGAGCAAAAGGAAGAGGAAGAGATGGATGGTTTCCTCGGGTAACCTAGAAGGGTTTGTATCAACACAGTTCAGCAAAACAAAAACAAAAAATAAAAATATTAATAATAATAAAAAACCAGAAGTATACTGTGGATCACCAGAAAAGCAATGAACTACAAGATGATTTTGGATAACCTTTATGAGTCTTGATTTCAGAGCAAGGAATGCCAGTAGGCTAGTGAGGAAGCTGAGGCAGGAAGTCGTGCAGAGTATTTGTGTTTTACTTCTGCGTATTTCTTGTGTTACTAAGTGAAGTTTCCGTATCCTGTGCTAAGTTTCTGCATGTGTGTGTTCATCGTCATGCCTGTGTTTACAGATAAAAGAACTATGCTATCATGTGTCCCTGAAGACAGAAGGTAGAAATCTGGAAGTCAAAACTTTTGGTAGGAATATAGGAAAAGTGCAAAAAGGTGAGGTGAAGGTCTTTGAGAAATGTGTGTTCACAGTCCAGCATCCCCACAGCCAGAAGGGGAAGCAGACGTTAACTCTACCCCAGGGATAAATGTGTAAAACACACATACACTCCCTGCACAGAATTATTATGGAAACCAGTCCCAGCAAGATGAGAATATGGAAACCTCCATGTCTGGTTCCTTTCACAGGAGCTGGAGAAGTGCCTAGCGTGAGAGGTCAAGACAATCTATTCTGTTAATGTAGATTAAATGTATCAATAAAGCTGGTATTATATCACCTTTCATTATCCCTGACCTGGAAAAAAATATGAAGTGGGTGAAGCAATAGAGAAATTCAAATAAATACAGAATAATTCCCATTTCTGCTCCAATACTGGATGTCTTGGCAGAAATACGAAGACATTTTATTACTATGTTGCCTTCTCTAAACATTCCTACTAAATGTGTGCACTTAATAAATATCACTATGTATTTGGGCTATTGATGCCCTGTTGCCTTTTTGTTTTATTTTTTATGCTTATTGTTGTCTACTTGGCAGTTTCAGGAATCTTTCACTTGCCTGGAATATGGTGGAGGCAGTACTGATTGATCTGTTCAGCCTGCCAGCAAACTTGCAGAACAACCTCCAGGATTTACTGTGTAACATGCTGGGGACTACCGAAGAATGCTCTTCCATCACTGCTCCTCTGGTTTATGTCATGTGCTCCCAGACAGAACAGGGTGAAAGGAATGACGAGCAACAGTTGCTTCCAGCTCTAACAGATTTTCAGGCTCTGAAGAAAAGCCTGGAGGTGGTACGTGCTCTTACTACAGCTGCTGCTTTGTACACCATCAAACAAAGACTAGATGAAAAAGACTTAAGCACCATTAAAATTATCCTACCTGCGTTCAGGAGGGACTTGATGAAAGCGTATATAGCCCAGCTCTTTACTGCAGTCTACCAATTTGAATTTGAGGATTTGGAGATGGTATCTGATTGGAATAACCTACTGATAGCTGAACCTCAGCCTGAAGGGCAAGCACTTTCTACCCAGGACATAGAACTCATCACGAGTGAGATTCAGATGTATTTGCAAAACCTGCCAAGCCTGAAAGGGGAGCTCACCATCCTCAAGGCTTCCCTGATCCCAGGTGACATGAAAAACAGTTTCTAACTATGCTTCAGTTAATACATTTTATATAGACTGTTCCTCAGCATACTTGTGGGTTTAAGGGAATCACAATGTCACTCAAGATTTGGATACCTCTTCTGGCAGCAAATGGCATGATGTTGTAATATCATGTTTTCTAAGAGGGGGAAGTATCAATGCAAATGTAGCAAAAGACTGCCAGATCTGCCCCAGGCCTGGGGGCACATACAGAGCAGGAAGAGGCCTAGGTTTATTGGCAGCATTAGTGCAGAGAGTAAAATCTCTTCCAGTCTGTGTGGGGATTACACACTGTGAAAGTTACCTTCATCTTCCATAAGGCAAAGCAGGATTTCTCCTGCCCCGTGGGCTTGTCTACGCTTGGTTAATCAGACCAATGTCTTGGTGACCTAGCACGCTGCAGCATGTCACACGTGCAGTGCAATTACCGGGTCTCCTGATCCGGAAGAAAGCCAAGATGTTTGCCAAATATTTGGAACTGCCTCTCCCTAAAATCCAGCATCTGAAGGTGACTTAAAGCCTTCAGGCTCTCTTTCCTTTGGGCTTCAAGTTTTTGATTGTGACTTTTAAAAAATCACACTGTATAAAGATTTGGCAAATCTCTACTCTGATTGTATCACTAAGCTCCTTGGCTATGCAGATAGCAATAGCAATTCTGGGACTACCTGTATTTGACTTTGCCTTGCAGAAAAAAACAATATATATCTAAAAACACTGCCTCCATTTAGTTGCATGAGACTGTGATATGGAGTCTGCACTGTAAAAATGGAGGATTTTTCAATTAAATTAGAAATTCTAAATGTTTTTAATGTACTTTTGGAAGGTGTTTGAGATTCTGTAAGACATTTTCAGGACTGGCACTCTATCTTCTGCCAGAAAAACATGGGAGATGCCACCTTAGAATATTGCTTTAAAAATCTACTCTTGTTTTCTTCGGTGAATTATCTCTTTTCTTGGATTTGCCCTACAGCCCTGTAAAAAGTCAGACTAAATCTGCCAGGACTCCTTCTTGCTCAGACCTCTCTGGCTAGATTTCAAAGGTTTATGATGCTTAATGTGATAATAGGAAACTGCTTTGTCATCTCACACTCACACCATATATGTGTCCTTTCACCATAAAGCATCAATTCACATATTTTTAGTAGAGCCAGAAGTAAGCATAGAATTTAAATGCCATAATTAACTGAGAGGTTAACTGAGGTCAAGTCATTCTCAACTTGCTTGGCTGATTTCAGTTCTTTTCAGCATAAAAACCTGTTAAATCTGGGTTTGTCTTGCCTTGAAAGCAGTTGTTTGTTGTTTTCTTTGTGTTGCCAGATGGTATCTTCCTACATGGATTCACCACAAGGACAGGTGGAATCTCTTACATACCAACTCTAAGCTCCTGCAATCTCTTCAGCAGTTCCAAGCGGAGGGACCCACAAGCTGTGGTTAAAGAAAACCTCCGGAGGCTGGCTAATGCTGCAGGGTTTAACCTCGAGACATTTCACAGGGTCAAGGTATCTTATCAATGGGTTTGTGTGAACTGATCAACTCTTCCTTCGTGTATCACTGGTTAAACTATAGGAATTATTTTTATCTTTATCAGCAAGGACTTGTGAAAAGCAGGACCACAAAACGTTACTACTGTCAGTTTGTCTCCAGGAATAGCCATCAGGACTATCAGCCATTTGGCACTCTGAAAAAGCACCATTTCTTATCCCTAACAGATCGGTCACTTATCCACAGAGCAGAATAATCAGTTAATGATCAGAGAAATGTCTCTTAAAAGAAAAAAAAATGAAATAAACAAATAATCAAAAAAAAACCCAGCACCATTTCTTCAGTGATTTTCTATGGATACATTTGCATGGCATTTGAACAAGGGAGTGCCTGAATGCCATGCATAGCAGTTGGTGGAAAAGAGAATGTTTCAGACAAATAAGATTATTGCATTAATCAGGACTTGAATTTTCATTGTTTTGTCACTGTGCATGTTCTGTTTTTGCATTGGCAGGTTGATCATGGTAATGCAGTGTGTATTATGGGAAAGACAGAGCCTGACAGCTACGACGGAATAGTTACGAATCAGAAAGGCATTACCATAGCGGCTCCTGGGGCTGATTGCATACCTGTGCTATTTGCTGATCCTGTCAGAAAAGTGTGTGGTGCTGCTCATTCAGGTGGGAATTTTATATCAGAGACATCAGAATAACCTGAAAATCAGGAAAGAGAACTTTGGAGTGGGGTTTTTAAATTAGCAACTGAAGCGAGAACAAATAAATCAAAGATCATGTAACAATTTAGTTCCTGGCTTGTTAAAGTTGTATCCTGCCCTAAAAGGATCAATCTTGGAATACCACCTCATTTATATAACTCTTCACACATTCCAAAAACTACCCATAATCAACTCAAATTTGTGAATCATCATAACATGATCAAAACTTTGTTTTTACATCAATAAAGTTGTTGTTTCCACACCTACTCCTAAGAGTTTAGTGAGCCTTGTGTGTAATACAGTTTAGGTATCATTGGATGCCTTTGAAGTGCAGACTCCTAACAACTTTTAGCAAGACATTTCTGTGGATGAGTTGTTCTGTGCTTCTTATGGGATTATGAGAGGCTTTAGTTATACTACACAAGAGCTCTTGTCTAGAAATAGAAACTTGTCTATTCTCAGGAGACCTTTATATGGCCCATAGCAAGCTGAGGTTAACCATGCAGAGATAAATGAGAATTCTACCATAGCTGTCTGGGTGAGAGGGGATTTTCGTAGTTTTAGTGGGAAAAAGGAACAGAAGGAATTTTTCTGCTCCTTAAAGTTTTAAGAGATTGAAGTTTTACCCTTTAATTTTAAAACCTTTTTATTGGTAAATACTTCAATCTATAACTGTTACTTTCTGCGCTGCCTTTCAGTTACCTAGTTTTGTCTTCCCTGGCCCAGAACACTGCTCGTCCAACCCATTCTGTTGTCTTATCCCTGCATACTACCCACATCCAAACTGAACTACCACCATCCAGCCCCCAGTCTCTTGGCCCCATTCCCATATCAGACACTCTACCAGGTCTCCAATTATGTTACATTTTCCTTTCCTAAATCCTTTTCTTCCTTTCCAAACAACCCTCAATTCATGTCTGATCAGCACATATTGCTACATATGCAAATAAAGGCAGTTAAATACAGGGACATCTCTGCCTTTGGATGTGGAAAAGTAGTATGTGAACTAGCAGATCCTGTCCTTTGATATGAGGCTCTCCCTGTGCAATGCAAAGAATTCTTGGGACTTCGGCTAAGATACGAGAACTCAAAGCTGAGCTTTCTTCTATCTCTTCCAAACAAAGCCAAAGTGCAAAGGCAGTTTACATTTCCTATGATCAAATATCATAAAACTAGAGACTGGAGCTGTCCCCCGCCCCCCGCTTTTTTTTTTTTTTTTTTCCGAAAATAGCACAAAACGCTCATTCTTTTATAAATAGATGTTTCTGATTGGAATATATTTCTATTATGTCATATTCGCATTAAGATGTTTCAGGCCAGGACAAACAATAATGTATGTACTAGATGCCAAAACAGTGGAAGGAAGGAATTCTGGAATCCTAATCTTATCTTTAGTTTCCAGCTCTCTAAAATGGTGCTATCTCTAACTGTCAGCTGTTAGTTAAAAAATACACATGTATTTTGTGCTGTGTGTATCCATTTGTGTCCTTAATAATGATATATATTTTAGCTACTGCAAAATAAATGAGCAAATTTATGCAATCTATTTCATTTTTAACCTCTCATTTTTCTCAGGATGGAAAGGCACTTTGTTAGGAGTTTCTATGGCCACAGTAAATGCTATGATATCTGCATATGGCTGTAATGTGAAAGACATCCTTGTGGTGCTGGGCCCATCTGTAGGACCTTGCTGCTATAAACTTCCCCAAGAATCAGCTAGAGAATTTCACAGAATTGATCCAAAGTGTGTGAGACTATTTGACTCTGAGAGTCCTTATATTGATCTTAGAAGAGCAACACGGTAAGTGTATACATTTTTATGAGATAACACTTCTTGCCACTATAGAATATTATCCAGCAATATTATGGTCAGCAATAGAGTGCTTTCCAGAACTTTGCAGATTAAGCTTTGAAAGAATGCTATTTCAACTATTATTTTACTTTTATTGCAGATTAAGCTTTGAAAGAATGCTATCTATTTCAACTATTATTTTACTTTTACGCTTTAAAAGTATTTTCTAGACTGTAGACAAATGTTCAAATTAAACGGATTCTTACTACTTGCACAAGAGCAATAATTTTAGTCTATTTAAAAAAAATTAAATCCCCCAAGCAAATGCAAGTCTCAATTACAATATTATAATTACCATTATTTAGATGGTATTTGAGTGCCTGAAGGAATATGAAGATGTACAGATCCATTGTTTTCTGTTTCTCTTCCTTTCTTTAAGGATTCTTCTGGAGACTGGTGGAATTCTTCCCGAGAACATTCAGGATGATTCTGTCACAGATCAGAATCAAAATGTCACTCTCTGTACTGCATGCAACCCTGATAAGTTTTTCTCTCACTTTCGTGATGGCACTAACTTTGGGACACAGATTGGCTTCATATCAATCAAAGAGTGAGTTAAGTATCTCTTACTCTTGAATCAGATTTGGACAATTGCTTGGCAGGGCTTCATCCTTCCTTACATCCATATGTAATGGATGTTCAATAAGCAGTTCACAAGTCTGTTTCTCTCCCTGATGTCTGAGACAAGAAGGGTATCTAGGGTATATATTCTAGGGTATATATTCATATATTCATCTAGGGTGTATATTCTTGTGGGACATGAGCTAAAGGAACAAGGACAATCTCCACCAGTGACCAAGCCACTCTGAATATCAGATGCCAGCTCCCCCTGTCTTGCCTTCTTGACCAAATATTTCTCAGGAGCCTGAGAGCCTTAAGATGGTGAAAGCACAAAAGCCAAAGTCTTCATTAGCTTCTGAATGAGTCTCCTGAGTGAATGAAGTTAAGTATGATATACTGATATAGGAAAGGAAACCTGTATTGCATGTTAATTGTTTGGGAACACCCAACTGTGATAATTTAAATTGAAGATTAGCCATATAGAATGATGTGCCTGGATTGTTTTCAAGCTTTTGGTTAGTTTAAAACTTTAAAACACTTTAAAACAAGTTGTGTAACTGAGATGCAAGCTTAAAACCCTCACCCTTCTGTATTTTTTTCAGTTGCATGAAGGATAGGATTGAGACTCTTCATATGATATGACATGTTCCTTTATGTTCCCTTAATATTTTTCCTTAAACTGTTGTGTCTTTGTTAATCACCATTGAGACTGTCTGAACAGTCCTTAATTATTTGCTAAATATGTCTAAAAGAATGTGAATTTAACTTGACTTATCCATTTTGCTTAAAAGCAGAAAAAAATGTGCCCAGTTTTCTTATGCTTCCATAGAAAACTCATCTGCAGACATTTCCGCAGAGATGACTGTTGCTGACACAAAAGCAATGGGAACCTTCTTACAGTTCAGTCCTTTGTTTGCAGGTCGAAAACTGTTGGCTAGCTTGCAGAGTTCCCAAGCATGAGATTTGAGAGGACTGTTTGTAGGCAATGCTTTGGATTTTTGAATCCAAACAGCTTTACAAATTCTAGAGTGCTTTGCCCACTAGAGGTCAGTGCTTACTTACTCTGCCCTTCCGTCCTTGTAGCTGGCTTTTCAAACGGCGTTTTGCAAAGCGTTGTGCCCCACACGCTCCCACTTTTGCCACTACAATCATCTGCCAAGATAGCCCGATATCTGTGCTTAAAGTGTAATCTATTTTTCATTTTGCTAGGCTGTGATTCAGAGCCTTTCCACCCTTGTCGTTTTAAAGAACAGATTTTTGTTAAACCTTTCTTTTAACTCTGAAGGGTGTTACATAGACAAGAGTGGTTCTGATTAAGTTACCTTGTGAATATAGCCATCTACCAAAAACAATGTCTTCTCACAATTCTACCTCTTCTTTAGATTCTTTTTTCTGTAGTACATCAGGTCTTTAAAATAAGAACTGTTTCACTTTCATTTCTCTTTGAAAACCCTCGGTTCCTTTCCTCACTCCTGGCTTACGTCTATGGCTTTACTGCTTTAATAGTTACAGATGGGTTCAGATTAGGGCTTTAAGTTCCAGTAGGGGTTCAGGCTGAACAAATTAATGCCATGAAGCATGTTAATGCACAGTACGTGTGTGTATTACTGAGCTATGCCAAATATAGGCAGGCATATCTTGCTGTACTGGGTAGAAAATCACTGCCCTCACTGCTTAGTCTGTCATGCCCTGGTATTTAAGTGTGAACTCGCTTTATGGGCACTGCTTGGCCTAGCAATGGAGTGAATAAGAAGTCAGTGAGTAAGGAGTATGTGTTCACTGCTGTTGTTTCTGCTGTGGGGTCAGTAACACTACATAGTCTTCAGTCCCTGCCAGAGCTTGTCTGTCAGTGCCCTTCTCTTAAATCTCTTCCCTTGTGGATTAAGAGCCTGCGATCAAAAAAAGCTGAGTTGCTTCTTTTGCACTTTATCAGCCAAAACACCGTAGGTGCCCATGCACCTGCTTTTAGCCCATTTCACATGATTTTAAACTAATGCATTTCACTTTGCAGGAAGTAAAATGATCTTGCACCCATGTTAGTTTCCACAGTTGAGTTGATGAACGGTATATTAAGACACAGTAACTTGAAACCATTTATAAACCCTAGCTTGT